GAGACCAGCCTGCGAAACATAAGGAGACCCCAACCAGGCGCGATGGCTCACGCCTGTAATTCCAGCACTTTGGGAGGCTGAGGAGGGTGGATCACGAGGTCAGGAGATCGAGACCATCCTGGCTAACACAGTGAAACCCTGTCTCTACTAAAAACACAAAAAATTAGCCGGGCGTGGTGGCAGGCGCCTGTAATTTACTCAGGAGGCTGAGGCAGGAGAATGGCATGAACCCAGGAGGCAGAGCTTGCAGTGAGCAGAGATCCTGCCACTGCACTCCAGCCTGGGTGATAGAGCAAGACTCCGCCTCAAAAAAAAAAAGAAACATAGGGAGATCCTGTCTCTATAAAAAAGAAAACTTGGCCAGGCAGGTGGTGCACGCCAGTAGTCCAAACTACTCAGGAGGCTGAGGTGGGAGGATTGGTTAAGCTCTGGAGGTCAAGGCTGCAGAGCTGTGATCGTGCCACTGTGCTCCACTCTGGGCGACAGAGTGAGGTCCTGTCTCAAAAATAAATAAGTAAATAAAAATGAAATGAAATTTTTAAAAATTAGAAGTACACATGAAATTCATTTACTGCAACATTCATTGGCAAGTGATTATGGCAAAGAAGCTAAAGCTAGAAATATTCAATGTGTTACAAGATGCCATCATTGTGGTAAAAACAAACTAAAACATAAGTCAACTATATAAAAATTAAAGGGAAATAAGTGCAATGCAAAAGGAAACAGCACAGGGGAGTCAGAAATGATGGGAGTGGGGATGCAACTATAACAGTGTAATGAGGAGGCTTCACTGAGTTGTCACTTGAGCATGGTTTGAAGAGTGTAAGACAGTGATGCAGACTTGAGGGGTACAAGGGAAGAGTGTTCCAGGCAGAGTACAACAATACAAAAGCCTTAGAATAGAAACGTGCCTGAAATGTCCAAGGAACAGCTGGAGGCCAAGCACAGTGGCTCACACCTGTAATCCCAGCACGTTGGGAGGCCAAGGCAGACTGTTTGAGGCCAAGAGATAGAGACCAGCCTGGGGAACATAGTGAGATCCTGTCACTACAAAAATTAAATTTAGGTCAGGCGCAGTGGCTCACTGGCTCACGCCTGTAACTCTAGCACTTTGGGAGGCCAAGGTGGGTGGACCACCTGAGATCAGGAGTTTGAGACCAGCCTGGCCAACGTGATGAAACTCGTTTCTACTGAAAATACAAAAATTAGCTGGGTGTGGTGGTGCGCACCTGTAATCCCAGCTACTGGGAGGCTGAGGCAGGAGAATTACTTGAACTCAGGAGGTGGAGGTTGCAATGAGCCGAGATCACACCATTACACTCTAGCCCAGGTGACAGAATGAGACTCCTTCTCAAAAAAAAAAAAGTACATCGCAAATTGCATCAGTATAGAAGTAAATGTATTTAAGCAACAAATAAAATGGTCAAAACATTTTTACTTTTGTGGTGCCTGATCAAAAAAATTTGGAGACTATTCTTTTAAGATACAAACAAAATATATCACACAACAAACAAAAATCTCAGATTCAGTTCTCTTATTTGTATCCTGTATTTCAGCATGCTTGTAATTCTCTGAATGGTCCATGTTAATTTATCTTTTTCTTTTTTTTTTTTTTGAGATGGAGTTTTGCTCATTTTGCCCAGGCTGGAGTGCAATGGCACCATCTCAGCTCACTGCAACCTCCACCTCCAGGGTTCAAGCAATTCTACTGTCTTAGTCTCCCGAGTAACTGGGATTACAGGCATGTGCCACCACGCCAGGCTAATTTTTTGTATTTTTTAGAAGAGATGGGGTTTCACCATGTTGGCCAGGCTGGTCTCGAACTCCTGGCCTCAAGGGATCCGCCCGTCTTGGCCTCCCAAAGTGCTGGGATTACAAGCGTGAGCCACCGTGCCAGGCCTTATTTTTTTTTTTTTTACTGCCATAGAATATGGAGCCTGAAATCCATGTTAATTTATACCTCTGCATAGGTGGCTCCCTCATTCAAAATCACCTCTGCCTGACCTCTACTGTTCATTCAAAATACCTTTTCTTCTTTTTCATTTCTTTCTTCTTCCTCCCACCCCCAAATCAAAATTCTTCTGAATCCTCCTTTGTGAAGCTCTCCCTCCACCCCCAGGGACATGTAACTATGCTCTCCTTTGCATCCCACCCTGTGACCTACTCATACCTCTAATTACAACACCTACCACACTACTGGCAACGTTGTATGTCTGATTCATTCATTACTGTATTAGCCCACAAAGGGGCCTGATCTTAGTCATTTTTTTATCCTTGAGCTGTATTACATACCGGGCACCTCAAAAAGTAACCCAGAAGTATATGTGGTGGAATTTAGAACTGCAATAACTCATTCCTTTACATATACCAGTCCTATGCCATCAATACATATTTTACCAAGAAATTTAAATCATGAATTATTTAAATCACATTCCTTCACATGTTTGGAAGTAGTTTATAAATAACTTTAGGGAATTCTACATGGAACCTGTATTTTCTTCCGCATCTGTTAAAAGTTAAAAAACAAAAACAAACATGTATGGAGCCATCGCACAGAAAATCTGATAACTATACAGACCCTGTCGGCAGGAACCATCTGTTTTAATGTGTGTGACTGTCTATGGTTGCACTGTACAACTAACAATGCAATCAATACCAGAAACAGTCACATAGGTCTCACTAAAGTCCTATATCCGAGAGCTGCACTCTAAGTGAAATGCAAACTTTCATCATCAAATCATTCTGCCTAATTTCCCAGTACCACTTTATCCAATGGTATCCAATGGTGCATGTGTATATGAACACTTTATCTTGATATATATTTTTATTAACAAGTGCTATATAGGATCAGTGGGTCACTAGAGTTCTCAAAAGTTCATATTCTACAACAAATTTGATATACAACATTCTAGATGTAGCAAGGCTTTTTTTTTTTTTTTTTTTTTTTGAGATAGAGCCTCACTCTATCACCCAGGCTGGAGTGCAGCAGCGCAGTCTCGGCTCACTGCAACCTCCACTTCCTGGATTCAAGTAATTCTCCTGCCTCAGCCTCCTGAGTAGCTGGGATTACAGGCGTACGCCACCCCACACAGTTATAACTATTTTTGTATTCTCAGTACAGATGGGGTTTCCCCATATTGGTCAGGCTGGTCTCAAACTCCTGACCTCCGCTCACCTCAGCCTCCCTGAGAGTGCTGGGATCACAGGCATGAGCCACCACGCCCAGCCCACTACCAAGGCATTTTAACATACCTATTTATCATACTTTACCATACTTTAATTATATATTCAATATAGACTAAGGATCCAGTCCTATAATACTGCCTCCTCTAACTACTTCTATTCTTTCTTTTTTTTTTTTCTGACAAGGTCTCACCCTATTTATTGCCCAGGCTAGAGTACACTGGTGTGATCCTGGTTCACTGCAGCCTTGAATTCCTGGGTTCAAGTGATCCTCCTGCCTCAACCCCCATCAGTAGCTAGGACAACAGGCATGCACCACACCTGATTAACTTTTTAAAAATTTGTATAGATGGGGTCTCACTAGGTTGCCCAGACTGATCTCCAACTCCAGGATTCAAGTACTCCTCCCTCCATGGCCTCCCAAAGTACTGGGGTTGATCCAAAGGTAGTGATTTATCTCAATTCAGTCAGTTACAGATCAAACTCCTTGTTCTACTCTTTCCTCCCTTTTCACTACGGCACTTGACTAGTCTTTAAAAACAAATTAACAAGCCAGGCGCAGTAGCTCACACCTATAATTCCAGCACTTTGGGAGGCCAAGGTAGGTAGATCATGAAGTCAGGAGTTCAGAAACAGCCTGGCCAACATGGTGAAACCCCATCTCTACTTAAAAAAAACAAAAAAAAACTACAAAAATTAACTGGACATGATGGCACGTGCCTGTGATCCCAGCTACTCGGGAGGCTGAGGCAGGAGAATTGCTTGAACCAGGACCTGGGAGACGGAGGTTGCAGTGAGTCGAGATTGTAACACTGCACCCTAGCCTGGGCTACAAAGTGAGACTCTGTAAAACAAAAAAAAAAAAAAAAAAAGAAAGTTGGCCAGGCACAGTATGGCTTGAGGTCAGGAGTGTGAGACCAGCTAAGGCAACGCAGGGAGATCCCCATCTTTACAAAAATTTAAAAATTAGCCAGGCGCAATGGCATGCACCTGTAGTCCCAGCTACTTGGGAGGCTGAGGCGGGAAGATTCCTTAAGCCCAGGAGCTGAAGGCTACAGTAAGCTATGATTGTGCTACTGCACTCCAAACTGGGTAACAGAGCAAGAGTCTGTCCCTAAACATGAAACAAAAAAGCAAAGTGCTGGGATTACAGGCATGAGCCACCACACCCTGCCTAGATCTATTTCTAAAAGTAAAATTGTTATAAAGTAGATAAATCTATATTCTTACCATTATTGCTAACAAAATCTTCATGTAAAATAGGGAGATCAAGTCGAATTCGTTTCAAACAGGTCTGAAAATGAAAAGAGATATTTATTTTTACCTCTTTACCAATAATGTTGGGGGGGGACTAATTTGCTATTAGTTTTCCCTCTCTACCAAGAGATTCCAAAATGAACATTTTAAACAGTAATTTAGCCTCAACTAAATCTATCCTACCATTTAGCATTATGAATGATATTTATAATCATCTCAACACTTACCTGAACTTCCTTTTTACTTCCCAGGTATTCAACTCTGTCAATAAAATCCTCAAACTGCAGTTTAGGGAATAGCCTATGTGCCCAGTGCTCCATGTGTCTGATTAGCATCTTCAAGTCTTCAGCCTGGCACATAAAAATAAAAATGCTAAACAGGAGTCTCATTCTCACAGCTGACCCTGTCAGCAAGTTTCAGAACTGAAAAGCTATGCCAAAATCACTGGGGTCATTTTGTATTTATAAGGTCAAAAAACTTATAAAAGGAAGTTTATTAATAAGAAAAATATTGGCCAGACACAGTTGTTCACACCTGTAATCATAGCACTATGGGAGGCCTAGGGGGACAGATCACTTGAGCTAAGGGGTTTAAGGCCAGCCTGAGGCAACATGGTGAGACCCCGTATCTTCTAAAAATACAAAATATAGCCAGGCGTGGTGGTACACACCTGTGGACCCAGCTATTCAGGTGGCTGAAGTGAGAGGATTGCCTAAACCTGGGGGGCAGAGGTTGCAGTGAACTAAGTTCACACCACCGCACTCCAGACTGGGTGACAGCGAGATCTTATATCAAAAAAAAAAAGAGAGAGAGAGAGAAAATTATTAAGAATTTAGAGGATTGCAGTCTAAAAGAGTACTGGATACAGGTTTTTGTTTTTTTGTTGTTTTTTTTTTTTTCAGAGAGAGTCTCACTCTCTCACCCAGGCTGAAGTGCAAGGGCAAAGTCTCAGCTCACTGCAACCTCTGCCTCCCGGGTTTAAGCAATTCTCACGCCTCAGACTCCCAAGTAGCTGGGATTAGAGGCGTGCATCACCATGCCCGGCCTAAATTTTGTATTTTTTAGTAGACAGTAGTTTCACCATGTTGGCCAGCCTGGTCTCAAACTCCTGGCCTCAAGTGATTCACCCACCCCGGCCTCCCAAAGTGCTGGGATTACAGCACGAGCCATGGCACCCTACCTGGATACAGATGCATAAAAATTAGATGAAAACAAATCCAAGTACAAAAACTTAATAAAGCTGGCCAAGCGCAGTGTCTCACGCCTGTAATCCCAGCACTTTGGGAGGCTGAGGAGGGTAGATGACCTGAGTCAGGAGTTCCAGATCAGCTTGGTCAACATGGTGAAACCCCATCTCTACTAAAAATACAAAAATTAGTTGGGCGTGGCGGCAGGCACCTGTAATCCCAGCTACTTGGGAGGCTGCGGCAGTAGAATCACTTGAACCCAAGAGGTGGAGGTTGCAGTGAGCCAAGATCGAGTCACTGCACTCCAGCTTGGGCGACAAGAGTGAAACTCCATCTCAAAAAAAAAAAAAAAACACTTAATAAAGTTAAAAGATAGTAGGCCGAGTGCAGTGGCTCATGCCTGTAATCTCAGCACTTTGGGAGGCCGAGGTGGGCACATCACCTGAGGTCAGAAGTTCGAGACCAGTCTGGCCAACATGGTGAAACCCCATCTATACTAAAAATACAAAAATTAGCCAGGTAGCTGGGCACGGTGGCTCACGCCTGTAATCCCAGCACTTTGGAAGGCCGAGACAGGCGGATCACGAGGTCAGGAGATTGAGACCATCCTGGCTAACACAGTGAAACCCCGTCTCTACTAAAAATACAAAAATTAGCGGGCGTGGTGGCGGGCGCCTGTAGTCCCAGCTACTCAGGAGGCTGAGGCAGGAGAATGGTGTGAAC